CCAATTCTTTGTCACCACAAAAAGAGCTGCTATAAATATTTTTGCACAAATAAGTCCTTTTCCTTTTTTTCTGATCTCTTTGGGGTACAGACCTAGTTGCACTATTTATGGGTCAAAAGGAATGTACAGTTTTAAAGTCCTAGGGTGCAGTTATCCAGAATTGTTCTCCAGATTGGCTGGACCAGTCCACAATTTCACCAACAGTGCATTAGTGTCCCTATTTTTCCAAATCTCTTCCAGCATTTGTCATTTTCCTTTTCTGTCCTGTTAGTCAACTAATAGACTGGCTCAGAGTTGTTTTAATTTGCCTTTCTCTAATTATCAGTGATTTAGAGCACTCTTCATATCACTAATGATAGCTTTGATTTCTTCTCCTGAAAACTCCCCATTCATATCCTTTGACCATAATTTATCAACTGGAGAATGGCTTTTATTCTTGTAAATTTGAGTCAGTTCCCTACATATGTGAGAAAGGAGGCCTTTATCAGAGAAACTTGCAGTAAAAAAAGTATTTATATTATTTCACTGTCTACGGTCCCTTTTAGCAAAATGTAGTTTCCCCGACTATCTCTTTTACCTACTCACCCTTAACCTAATGTTGGTGGCTTTGCTTGGGGGTGGGAGGGATGCTTCCAAGGCCTAGTTACAAAACCCCCCAGCTGTCTGGGGACTATACTGCTCCCCCAGAACAGAACAATGGCCTAGTAAGTGAAGTCTTAAGAACCTGCTCCAGGACAGAGAACTCAGTACTCACACCCAAACCTGCAAACATGTCTGCTTTGAGGACCTTCAGGTTTCTTTGCAGGCAAGAGTGTCTCCCTCATGATCCAGGTATCTCAGAGAGGGCTACACCACAGCACCTTGCTTGTGGAGTAGTCAGATGTGTGCTTAATGATGCAAAGCAAATGTTTCTTATATCACTTTCACTAAAGCACAGTTCTGTACAGAAAAGTACCTGGATATCAAAATCCAAGTCCCATCTTTTAATTCAACAAACAGTTTTCTTCAAGGTACTATGGGAAAGAAAAGAAATAGTATTTCTCCACATTTTTCAAGAAGCAAGGGAAAAGGAGGAAAATGTGATATGGATTAATTCCAATCCTACTGAATATGAAAAGAATAAAAGTAACAAAGGAAAATGAAAAGGCCAGGCAGTAGGATAGAGACTCCCCATTTATTAGGAAGCTTCATATGTATCAAAGAGCATACGGTCTCTGGTCTGAACCGGATGCTCTGCCCTCCTCCTACTTTCTTGTCCTTCTAAAAGGTCTACACTGCAACATTCCTCAAGCTTGGTAGGTCTGCTACCCGGGGTAGATTTAGGGCACAAGCAGAAATGTCTCTCCCATTTGCCAATTTAAAGATCATCTTACCAAGACACCTCTGCAACTGGTATTCCTGCAAGTACTCAAGAGAGAGGAAGAGTACAGAGAGACCACCAGAACGGCAAAGGGTTTTGTTGGACACCTGGCATACTGCACTGGTGTCCTCGACAGCAGGAGAGGTGGAGGAAGGCCCCTCAGCTTCTCAGGTGGATCTCCTGTGGCAAACTTAGGGGAAGACATGGACTGGGTAAGGACAGAATGAACAGGCACCCTCGGAGGCAACCCTCCCATGGACAAGACCCATTTCAGCATGTACTCTGTGGTTGTGGGTACTGGACACAAGGCCTTGCTAGTGTCAGAACCAAGGGTAACAACTACCTGTCTCTCCAGTGAGCACATGACTTATGAGGCACTGTGAATGAAGTGTGACCCATCACTTCAGTGTGGAGATTTCTTCAAACACAGGGTCAAATGCAATACTTCATCTTCCTGAGTCTGTCACCCTTGAAGTAGGAGCAATGTCTATGAGGAAAAGACTCATAGAACCATATACCTTGTTTTATTTAACAGATAATCCTTTCCAGTGTGGGTAAGGGAATTTAAATAAGTTATCCAGGGAGTCCCAGGTGATTAATGTCAGGGCCAGGCCCCGTTGCTGAGCCCCATCATCTCCATCACACCATCTGAGGAGCGCTGAGAGAACACATGCTGCCGCTAAAGAATTACAGCTGCTCCCATTAACTCTCCTACACACAAGAAAAGTATCTAGGAAATGCTGAAATCCTTCTAATTCCTGGCAAAGAGACATCTAGTCCTGGAAGTCACTGGTCACACTGAGGTGCCACCTCTAAGGGCCTCAATACCACTCCCCCTCAGTTTGCACTGACAGCCAAAGTCCTGCTCCAGAAATTTAAACTGTCTTAATGGCATTTACTTCAAGATGGACTTTGATAAGAATTACTACCCACAAATGTTTTAGTCATCCTAGTAAATACTTTTTAAAGACTGATTTAGGATTCTGAATTAATAAAAGCCTTTCTACATGAATGTCTTTGGAAAGTGAGGATAATCGAGTGAAATGTGCACCTCACTGCCCAAGATGGAAACCAATTTTCTTTAGAATAAAGAAGGAACTTCACCTTAGTTCTGATAGTTAAGCCTTCCAAGTACTTAGCAAAGGGCCCAGCACATGCTATTCAGTTGTTTTCAGAACTGTCCCACTCTCTGTGACCCCATCTGGGGTTTTCTTGGCAAAGATACTGGAATGGTTTGCCATTTCCTTCTCCAGCTCATTTGACAGACGAGGAAACTGAGGCAAACAGGGTAAAGTGACTTGCCCAGGGTCCCACAGCCTCAGGAAGTATCTGAAGCCAGATCTGAACTCAGGTCCTCCTGAATGGAGGCCTGGAGCTCTTCATGGCACACAGCTGGCACTTCATAAATGTTTGTTGACTGACTAGGCAACTTTCGCCTTCACTTTAAGGTCTTTGTCACTCACCATGTTTAAATCTGTCCATTCATAGATGTGGATTTTATGAACCATCAGCATAAAACCAAACTCACTTCTGTTCCCCGGAGAAATGTACAAGAGGAAAACCATCAGAGCATAAGGATTGCAGCCCCATCAGTACTAGGGCTGATCTCCATCCATGTGCAGCCAGTGGGAATGACCGGAAGAGCAGATTCTAAAGGAACTTGGTAAAGTGGGGGGCTTCTCTGTCTTCTCCACTGTACTGAAGAGAGCGGAAGACAGGGCAGCACTCCAAAACGTGTGGACTTTGTAGAGCAGGACAACTTAGGGGGCTCAAATCTGACTGACTTCACTCCACAGCCACCCAACCGCAAGTCAAAGTGAAGGGAAAAGCAGGCTGACACAGATAATGATAATATTAAAGAAGAGAAAAAAAATTCCTGAATACCGTAAGAAAAACCCCCACCCTGAGGTGAAATACAACCGACTGGATTTGTCCAAAACAATTCTGTTGGGCCCTCATTGACTTCTTACCATTAGTTAAGTAGCCTATTACGAGTTGTACCACTCACTTTTTGGAAATACTGGAGATTTACACTATTAATGTTTAGGCAGAAGTGTTAACGTGGAAAATAAAATAGGAAGAATGCCTTTTTACTTCAAGAAGACCCAAGTTCACTTAGTTACTCTGATCAATACAATGACTCAAAATGATTCCAATGGACTCATTATGAGAGAGAACTGATTGAGTGCAGACTGAAGCAGACTTCCCACTCTGTTTCTTGGTTTTTATTGTTTGTTTTGTAACATAGTTAATATGGAAGTGTTTTGCATGATTTTATATATGTAATTAATATCATATTGCTTGCCTTTTCAATGAGTGGGGGAGGGACTGGAGGGACAGCATTTGGAGAACTTTTTAAAAAAGAATATTAAAAATAAAGTTAAAAAAAAACTGAGTTCAAATTCCTAAATCACTCACTAGCTGTATGATCCTTGATCCTAGGCAAATCACTTAACCTCTTTGTGCCTCAGTTTCCTCAGCCGTAAAATGGGGATAGGACTGTTGTGAACATTAGAGAAGATAAACAGGCACAGCACTTTGCCAGCCTTGAAGTGTTCTCTAAATATTAGCTGTTATTATTACCCCCCCACAGGATTGGGAAGAGAGCGCTGGGCCAACTGTAAACATTAAGTAAAATGACAGCAACAGCATTTCTATTCTGATCACCTCCAAACTAAGAGAGTGTTTCTAAGGGAAAGAACCTTGGGTTAGGACAAGAGATGGGTTCAGATCCCCGAAGGGACACTTTTATTGGAAGGACTTAGAGCGTATGCCTCAGGCTGCTCATCTGTAAAGGGCGGTGAGGCTCTGAGCATTCCTTTCTGTCACAGGATTCCGAAGGGAGCATTCTGCCAACTTTAGAGCAGTCTAACTGCCCCAGAGGAAACACTCCAGGAATTTTAATGGGATGAACACTAAGTTCAGGAATGGCCTGGGTTCAAATCCAAGTTCTGACACTTGAATGACCTTAGACAAACCACTTCACCGCCATGTGCCTCAGTTTCCCCGCTGTAATCTCATGGGGTTGTGAAGAAAACACTGAAAACTTTAAAGCACTGAGGTGATTGCAGACAGGCTTCCTATACCAAATAACCTCAAGAGAAAGCAGTGAAAGGAAAGTCAAGCATCAAATAAGTGCCTACTAAGTTCCAGACTACAGACCCCTGCCGTCAGGGGGCTTCCAGTCTAATGGGGGAGGGAGATGACACTCCAGATTGGCATGGGTACCCCAGCGCCTGGCACATAGTAGGCGCTTAATCAATGCTTGCAGCTTGGCCTGAGAGCCAGAAGGTTGACGGGGCAGGCACCCAGAGGCGCGGGGGGGGGGGCGGCTGTCCTGGGGTCCCAGCCCAGGGGGCCAAGGAGGAGCACGTGTGGGCGGCGGAGCCCCGCCCCCTCCGACGCCCGCTTCCCGGGAGCAGCGCGGGCTGGGCTGGGGCGCACGCGCAGTTCCGGACCCAGGCCCGCGCACGCGCACGGCGACGCCACGCCCCCGGGCAGGGCCGGGCCGGGCAGAGCCGCCCCCAGGCCCGGGCCCAGCTCGGCTCCGAGTCCCTGTCCGCCGCCCCCGCCCCGGCCTCGGCCCGCGCCGGCGGAAGCGCTTCGGCCGCAACACGCCGCCCCGCCGGCCCCCACTCACCCGGGCCGCAGGCCGGCGCCGCCGAGGAGGGTCCGCGGTCCGGGCGGGCGGCGAGAGGAGCAGCGCGCAGAGGAGCCGCGCCGGGAGGGCGGGAGCGGAGGGGCGGTGCTGGGCCACGCTCCGCCCTCACGTCCGTCCGTCTACCGGTCCGCCCGCCCCTCCTTCCGGCTCTGCTCCTCTGATTCCCCTCCGCCTCGGCGCCCCTCCCGGCCCTTGCGGGCGCCCATCTCACGTGACTGGGGGGGGCGCCACACCGCAGCTCCTAGGACCTGGGCTGCCCCAGTGAGCTATTCCGCCTGCGCATGCGTCCTGGAGTCAGCACCCCCCCCAAGTCTCTGCCCGCGCTTTTCAATGAGAAGTGCCCTCCGAAAGCCTCTCCCTCTCCCTCCCTCTGTTCGGGAAAGAGGGGGGCTCCCCTTGGGCCCCCAAGCGGCAGCTGGGACCAGGCTTGGGAGGGGAGGGGCCGTTGCAGCCTTGACCTTCCCTCCCCCCCAGCCGCAATGCAGGCTGCGCGCCCTGCCCCCCTCTCCCTCCTCTCTCGGCCGGGCTGCAGGGGCGACCACCCAGTCGGGGTGAGGGGGTCCCTGGGCTAGGAATTTTCCGTAGAGACGCTGACCCCACATGGATGCAGGTTCCCGAGGGTCCAAAGATGCCCCAGGAAACCGTTTCCACTGTGGGATGCTGGGGCCTGCTATGGCTCTGGGACTGGGGTAGGCGACCCCTCCCCGCCCCCTCCTCACAAGGACCTCACCTTCCAAGGGGCCTGCAAGCCAGAAGACCTGAGTTCAAAATAGGGCCTGGCACTAATTAGCCACGTAACCATGGGCAAGTCACTTAACCGCTGTCTGCCTGCCTCAGTTTCCTTAGTTGTAAAATGGGGATAATACTAGCATCTTTATGAAGGCTCAAGTGAGGAAAGCGCTCTGGAGGCCACGTACTACAGAAGTACACAAAGTTAACTTTACTTACAATTACATTTATACACAGCGGTCATCGCTTAGATTCACGTGCAATTAGTACATTGCATATAAAGTTCATAAATACAAAGCGTCCTTGTATACCAGGTCGGGGGTGGGGGGCGTCAGGAAAGGCTTCATTCAGGAGCTGCACCTCAAAGTCAGGGACCTCAACGGGGGTCGCTGCTTTCTAGGCATGAGGGACCGGCCTGTGCAAAGGCACCGAGACTGCAGAAGGGAAGGCCCGGAGCGAAGAAAAGAGGGGGTGATTAAGGCTGCATCTCCGGGTGGGGGAGAAAGGAACTTCCAGTGAGGCCAGGTGGCCTGGGGCTTTAAAAGCTATGCAGGTGTTTGAGCCTCTGGCAATAGGAAGCCACCGATTTTTACTGAATGTGGGGAGAGGTGGAGGGGAAGTTCAGGACATGGTCAGATCTATGCTTGAGGAAAGTTACTTTGGCGGCAGTGTAGAATGAACTGGAGTGAGCAAAGCCCAGAGGTAAGGGGATCGATTGGGACGTTGTAGCAATTATTTAGATGAGTGGTGAGAAAGGACTGAAGGTAACAATTGCCTAAGTAGTGGTAACAATAATAGCATTTATGTAGCATTGTAACGTTGCAAAGCACTTTACAAACATCGTATTTTATCCTCACAACGACTTCGGGAAGAAGGTGCTATTATTATTATTATTATTCGCTTTTTACAGATGGGGAAATAAGTCGAGAGAGGCTAAGTGAGGCTGAGAGAATGTAAGTAGAGAGAAAGTGTCAGTAAGAGATGTGTTATGAAGGTAGAAGGGCAAAACATCAGCCACTGATTGGGGAAAGTAAAGAGGCCTGAGACACTCACTGGCAGGAAAGAGGTGCTTTGGCCAGAAAGAAGAAAGTTGGGAAGAGGGAACATTTTAGGGGGGAAAGATGAGTTTAGTTTTAGAAATGTTGAGTTAATGCATGTACAGTTTGACTGTCCAGTAGACAATTAGTAAAGCAGGACTGAATATCTGGAAATGTATATCTAGATTTGGGAATCATCTGCATAGAGATGAACAGAATCTAAGGAGATTATACAGAATGGAGAAAACAAGATCATAGGACAGAACTTTGGAGAATACTCATAATTAGGGTCAGGATGTAGCCGATGAGCCAGCCAAGGAGACTGAGAATGAATGAACAGACAGGTAAGAGAGGCCATAGATTGGAGAAGAGACCTAGTGCAGCATGTTGGGGGAGAGTTACAATGATGATGAGGCATGATGGAGATTCATAGCCAGCAAAGGAGACAGAGAAGAGACATTTAGGTAGGTAAAAGGAGAACCAGGAATGAGTAGTGTCACAAAAACCCAGAGAGGAGAGGGTGATCAACTGTCAAATGCTTACAAGGTCACTTTTGTATCTAAGTCAGGTCATCTTTTTGAAAGTTATCTTGGTATATGGTGAATTGTTGGTCTGTACCTGATTTCTAGAAAACTGCTTTCTAGTTTGCCCAAAAGCGTTTGTCAGTAGTAAGCATCTATCTCAGTAACTAGGGTCTTTGGTTTTATCAAAACACTATGCTATGGTGTTCATTTGCTTCTGTATTTTATTCAGTCAATCTGTTCCACCAATTGACCTCTCTGTTTTAAACAGTACTAAATTGTTTTAATGATTACTGCTCTATAGTATAGTTTGAGAACTGGTGCTGATAGATCCCCTTCCTTTCCACTTTTTTCCCCCCCATCATACTGAGATTCCAGACTTTTAGTTCCTCCATATGAATTTCAAGATTAGTTTTATATATCGTTCTTTCCATTCACATAGATCCCAAAACAATTTCTTGGCCTAGTCAGGCTTTTATACTATATCGCTCATGGTGTCTTCACTTACAGTTTTAATTCAACAGGTATTCATTAAGCATATATCATGGGCCAGGCACTCACTCTCTGGGTGCTAGCAGTACAAAGAGAAAAAGAGAAGCAGTTTCTGCCCTCGTGGGGCTAATATTCTACTGAGAGCAAACAACATGTGGAACAGAAGTAAACTGAATTGACTTCAACCCCAAATAACCCTTTTGCCTCATAAATCAGCACAGTCTAACGAAAATGGTTTTGGGGGTCAACGATTATTGATTCCCCACTTGCCTCTGGCCAATTCCACGTTTTTTTTGTCTCTCTGTGAGGTGTTTACAGGAAGAAGGGAGGCATGTTTTACCCTCTCTCCTCCAAAGTCCAAATGATCTCATTCTATTTTCCAGTGGTGCTACAGGCACATTTCCTTAGATTGCTATTTCCATAAAGTTCCTAAATTGATATTAGTGATGGAAACTAGAGGTTGGAAAGGAAAACTGGCTCTCCGCTGCTCAAATGCAAATGCTTTCTACATATGTTGAGCTATAAACCATTTGGACTTGGGTATAACAAAAAAAAGAGTCACCGTTCTCAGCCTAAAGTACATTTTGTTCTTCGATCACTCCAACTCCCCCAAAATGGAAAATTCTAACTAGATTAGGTAAAGGTGTCCATTAAAAAAAAAAGACATGTTTTTCCATTAGGGCATGGCACCCAACAGGTTGCAAACATGGCAAATGCTAGTGAAATTGTCTCATGGGGTAACTACCCCCTTCTTCTCACCTTCTTTGTGGTTAAGGTAGAGTCTGGAAATAACAATTCTTCAGCTTAAATTAGTCTGGATAACCTATTTTACTAGAGTGGAATAAACACATAAATAAAGCCAAACTACAAACAACCTGAAAGTCTCTATTTTGTGTAAAAATCAGAGATATTCTTAGTCTGAAACATGATTAGCTCTCTTTTCCCCCTGCTCTCTGACCATACGCACATGTACATTCCATGCACAACCATTTCCTCCAAATACTGCCCTAATGTTTATTATTCTAAGACTCAGACTGAGGGGGGAAAGGGAAGAGGTTAAGAATGTTCCAGGTGACTAGAGATTAGGGGTCTCAGAGTTGTTTTGTGAAGAGACAGCAAGTGAAGAAGATTCCTCAAACTCTTGTCATGTGAAAAAGAGATTTAGCTTGTTCTACTTGGCCTCAGGGGCAAGGATAGGAAGATCGGGTGAAGGGGTGGAAATTGCAGAGAAGCGCATTTCAGCTTAATGTAAGGGAAAAGATTTCTTTTGGATGTCATATCTTCCTCATCCAAGGTCTGTAGGCAAAGGCTGAATGACCACATCTTAGGGCTGTTGTAGTGTGAATTCTTCATCAGGTATCAATCAACAACCAACAAAAGCGTCTGGTATGTGTAGGCAGTCTAAAAAGTTAGCATTTTGCTTTATCCATTCAGAATAATAGCCACAATCTTGAAGAATTATATGATTCCTCCAAGATGAAGTGAAAGTTGTTCTGAATGGATGAAGCAAAATGGTAACTTTCACTGTGGCCTCAGTTGTGTGACTGTTTCATCATCTTGAGAAATAGCCTTGTTCAGGAATCCTATAAATATCACTTCAAAATGTCTTGCGTAAAGTGAAATGTCTGAGAGCAGGAGGAGACTCTCAGTTTGGACATTGCTCTCTGAAGCAGAACAAGGCTTGAGTTTAGAATGATGACAATTTAATCAATGTTGTAGAGTGGAAAGAACATTAGACTTAGAAACAAGAAGACCTGAGTGTGAATACTGCCTTAGACATTTATTAACAGTGTGACCTTGGACAAATGGTTTCACCTCTCTGGGCCTCAGTTTCTTCACCTCTGAGATGAGAGGGCTGAACTTGGTGACCACTAAAGTCACTTACAGGTCGAAATCTCTGATCCTGGGCTTTTGAAGATTGGAGATGAGCAAATATCCTAATTGTTAAATGGATTCTGGAAACCATAAACCAATGAGGTGAAGGTTTATTGATCCCTGGCAAGAATTTGAAATGGACTATTAAATTTTTTTATTGATTTTGTTTCAACATATCATATAAATGTTCAGCACACTCCCATTTTATTCTCCCACTTCAGTACTGAAAAGAGTTAAGTAACATATCAAATTGTGATTGTTCTAGTAATCCACCATTGGTGGATTCATCAGTGGTGAAATGATTTAACTGTTCTGGAAAACAATTTGGAATTTAGAAAAGTCACTAAAATGTTTGTATCTTTAGTTCTAACATTACTACTTCTGGGTATATATCCTAAAGAGGTTAAACACAAAAGGAAAAGTCCCTTATATGCCAAAATATTCATATT